ACTGAGAGTTCCATAGTACTGAGAGCCCCATAATACTGAGAGCCCCATAGTACTGGGAGCCCCATTGTACTGAGAGCCCCACAATACTGAGAGCCCCACAACACTGAGAGTTCCATAGTACTGAGAGCCCCATAATACTGAGAGCCCCATAGTACTGGGAGCCCCATTGTACTGAGAGCCCCACAATACTGAGAGCCCCACAACACTGAGAGTTCCATAGTACTGAGAGCCCCATAATACTGAGAGCCCCATAGTACTGGGAGCCCCATTGTACTGAGAGCCCCACAATACTGAGAGCCCCACAACACTGAGAGTTCCATAGTACTGAGAGCCCCATAATACTGAGAGCCCCATAGTACTGGGAGCCCCATTGTACTGAGAGCCCCACAATACTGAGAGCCCCACAACACTGAGAGTTCCATAGTACTGAGAGCCCCATAATACTGAGAGCCCCATAGTACTGGGAGCCCCATTGTACTGAGAGCCCCACAATACTGAGAGCCCCACAACACTGAGAGTTCCATAGTACTGAGAGCCCCATAATACTGAGAGCCCCATAGTACTGGGAGCCCCATTGTACTGAGAGCCCCACAATACTGAGAGCCCCACAACACTGAGAGTTCCATAGTACTGAGAGCCCCATAATACTGAGAGCCCCATAGTACTGGGAGCCCCATTGTACTGAGAGCCCCACAATACTGAGAGCCCCACAACACTGAGAGTTCCATAGTACTGAGAGCCCCATAATACTGAGAGCCCCATAGTACTGGGAGCCCCATTGTACTGAGAGCCCCACAATACTGAGAGCCCCACAACACTGAGAGTTCCATAGTACTGAGAGCCCCATAATACTGAGAGCCCCATAGTACTGGGAGCCCCATTGTACTGAGAGCCCCACAATACTGAGAGCCCCACAACACTGAGAGTTCCATAGTACTGAGAGCCCCATAATACTGAGAGCCCCATAGTACTGGGAGCCCCATTGTACTGAGAGCCCCACAATACTGAGAGCCCCACAACACTGAGAGTTCCATAGTACTGAGAGCCCCATAATACTGAGAGCCCCATAGTACTGGGAGCCCCATTGTACTGAGAGCCCCACAATACTGAGAGCCCCACAACACTGAGAGTTCCATAGTACTGAGAGCCCCATAATACTGAGAGCCCCATAGTACTGGGAGCCCCATTGTACTGAGAGCCCCACAATACTGAGAGCCCCACAACACTGAGAGTTCCATAGTACTGAGAGCCCCATAATACTGAGAGCCCCATAGTACTGGGAGCCCCATTGTACTGAGAGCCCCACAATACTGAGAGCCCCACAACACTGAGAGTTCCATAGTACTGAGAGCCCCATAATACTGAGAGCCCCATAGTACTGGGAGCCCCATTGTACTGAGAGCCCCACAATACTGAGAGCCCCACAACACTGAGAGTTCCATAGTACTGAGAGCCCCATAATACTGAGAGCCCCATAGTACTGGGAGCCCCATTGTACTGAGAGCCCCACAATACTGAGAGCCCCACAACACTGAGAGTTCCATAGTACTGAGAGCCCCATAATACTGAGAGCCCCATAGTACTGGGAGCCCCATTGTACTGAGAGCCCCACAATACTGAGAGCCCCACAACACTGAGAGTTCCATAGTACTGAGAGCCCCATAATACTGAGAGCCCCATAGTACTGGGAGCCCCATTGTACTGAGAGCCCCACAATACTGAGAGCCCCACAACACTGAGAGTTCCATAGTACTGAGAGCCCCATAATACTGAGAGCCCCATAGTACTGGGAGCCCCATTGTACTGAGAGCCCCACAATACTGAGAGCCCCACAACACTGAGAGTTCCATAGTACTGAGAGCCCCATAATACTGAGAGCCCCATAGTACTGGGAGCCCCATTGTACTGAGAGCCCCACAATACTGAGAGCCCCACAACACTGAGAGTTCCATAGTACTGAGAGCCCCATAATACTGAGAGCCCCATAGTACTGGGAGCCCCATTGTACTGAGAGCCCCACAATACTGAGAGCCCCACAACACTGAGAGTTCCATAGTACTGAGAGCCCCATAATACTGAGAGCCCCATAGTACTGGGAGCCCCATTGTACTGAGAGCCCCACAATACTGAGAGCCCCACAACACTGAGAGTTCCATAGTACTGAGAGCCCCATAATACTGAGAGCCCCATAGTACTGGGAGCCCCATTGTACTGAGAGCCCCACAATACTGAGAGCCCCACAACACTGAGAGTTCCATAGTACTGAGAGCCCCATAATACTGAGAGCCCCATAGTACTGGGAGCCCCATTGTACTGAGAGCCCCACAATACTGAGAGCCCCACAACACTGAGAGTTCCATAGTACTGAGAGCCCCATAATACTGAGAGCCCCATAGAACTGAGAGCCCCATAGTAATGAGAACCCCATAGTACTGGGAGCCCCATAGTACTGAGAGCCGCATAGTACTGGGAGCCCCATAGTACTGAGAGCCGCATAGTACTGGGAGCCCCATAGTACTGAGAGCCGCATAGTACTGGGAGCCCCATAGTACTGAGAGCCGCATAGTACTGGGAGCCCCATAGTACTGAGAGCCCCATAGTACTGAGAGCCCCACAATACTGAGAGCCCCATAATACTGAGAGCCCCATAGAACTGAGAGCCCCATAGTAATGAGAACCCCATAGTACTGGGAGCCCCATAGTACTGAGAGCCGCATAGTACTGGGAGCCCCATAGTACTGAGAGCCCCATAGTACTGGGAGCCCCATAGTACTGGGAACCCCATAGTACTGAGAGCCCCTTAGAACTGAGAGCCCCATAATTCTGAGAGCCCGATAGTACTGGGAGCCCCATAGTACTGAGAAGTCCATGGTACTGAGAGCTCCATAGTACTAAGAGCCCACTCCAGCCTGTGACTGCACAGTGAAAGGAGAAGCAGCGTAGTGATAAGCTCATCTCTCCGTCACTCTGCTCTCTCTCCCTACCGGCATGCTTCTTGTCAGCCTATGAACCAATTAAACCCACTTCATCCTAAACCCACCCCAGTTTGTGACTGGACTGTAAAAGGAGAAGCAGCGCAGTGATGAGCTCATTTCTCTGTCACTCTGCTCTCTCTCCTTCTGTCAGACGCAAGCTTATTGTCAGCGCGTTAACTGATTGAGCCCAGGTTGTGTTGAACCTGCCCCAGCCTGTGACTGGATAGTGAAAGGAGAAGCAGCACAGTGATAAAGTCATCCCTCTGTCACTCTGCTCTCTCTCCCTATCAGCATGCTTCTTGTCAGCACATAGCTGCAAGAGGCTAACATCAGATCAGATTCACCTTCCCACCCTGCTTACATTTAAAAAGTACATTTAAAGATGTATTTCTATATACAGAGCTGCACCAGTTTATCTTTTCTATCTGCCCAGAGTTCAGCTTTAGGTACGTTCATGAAGAGCATTGTAATCACTTCCAATAATAATAATAGAGCCTCCTGCTCCTTTTTGGCCCCTCTGACCGGCGCAGTGTGTCACAGAGTTCAGCTGGTGCTTTAATATCAGCGGCCTCCTTCTTCATCCTTCTCCTCCGCCGTTTAGCATGTAAATAATATGCAACCAGAGGCGGCGTGTGTCAGGAGTTACACGCCGCAACACTGGCAGGTAGGCACGCCGGAACGCCATTTGCATAATGTTTTATGTAACATGCGGAACCTTTTGTCTTCCTCGCCGCTGTTCCCTGAAGTGTGAAACCCTTTTTATTTTCAATTACCTGCCGTGGCGCTTGTAAGGAGAGACCCGGGGAAGTTTCAGTAGCTGGCGCTGTGATATTTCACTGTCCTTTGCTGTCTGACGTTGTACTCTCTCTCCGTAGTTTAGTAGTACGGCACCGCGGGTAGAGCGCGGAATCAGCGCGTGCAATTAGCACCCCGCGCATACGTCCCAGATACCACTGGGACTTAAAGTGCAAAGTAGTCTTTTGTTTTTTTCTGAATATTAGGGATGCACCGAAACCGGTTTTTCGGTTACGAGTACTGATATTTTTTTCCCCGGTACTCGCCAATACCGATACCGGAAGTCCTATTAAGGAAGCCAGGCGGCGTTTAAAGACTCGCCACCCGGCTTCCCGATTAGCAGGGAAGCAACTAGGTGACGAGAAAGCATGGAGCCGGCTTTCTGGCCAATCACAAAGCCGTGCAATGACGCGCGCCCGGCTTTTTAATTGGCCAGGAAGCAGGTCCATGCTCCCTCGTCATGAAGTGACGAGGGAGCATGAAGCCGGCTTCCCGGCCAATCAGAAAGCCAGCCGTCACATCATCATTACACGGCGCCCTGCTTCCTGATTGGCCAGCTTCCTGAACAATCAGGAAGCCAGGCAGCGGGTTATAACACGCTGCCCGGCTTCCCGATTGGCCGGGAAGCCGGCTCCATGCTCCCTGTCACAAATAACATGTAATGACTCGCTGCCCGGCTTCCTGATACCGGAAATATTGGGCTAGGCATCGGACCGTTTGGGCGAATACTCACCCAAATACTCGGCATCGGCACAGATACCGATGCATCCTTACTGAATACATCTACATATTCAGGAAAAAAAAAGACTACTTCACACACTAGGCAGGCCGTAGTTGCATGTAGACCACACTAGGTATTGCCCCTTGTGTGATGCTGAACCTCAATGATTAAAAGAACTGATGTCCAATGAATGAAAGGGGCGGGCCACAGACAGTCAGATAATGCTGGACGTCCTCCAGCCAGGAAATGAGGCGGGCTCTATCTGACTTGCTGCAGCTCCTAATGCACATTATGAGAAGCTCGCAGTGTGCAGTGAAATCAGATGAAGCCATTTCAGTCCAGGAGAGGAGCCGGTACAACCGTGCCAGACTGTAGGGAAGGCCGGAGTTCAGCTTTAACATTTGTTTTCAAATAGAGAAAATAGTTTGTAAAGTATTTTCTGCCTTTACTGCACCCCCCCAGCTCCTTCACCCAGCCGATTGTTCATTCTAGTTTTTACTTGTTAACAGGAGATCCCGGGAGCCAGCGGCATTACTCACCTTGAAGCGGAGATGGGTGACCATAACCTGGAATACTCCAATGCCGACCATCTTCAGGAGTTGGCCTTCTCCCCTGTTCATGCTCCTGTTGTTGCAATGGGGACTCAGACTGGGAGGTAAGTGGAGAAACAGAAGACAGAACGATAGACAACTGCCAAATAAAAACAATTATAATAAATAGGGATGCATCCATACTAGTATCGATATCGGTGCTGATACCGAGTATTTGGGTCTCTGGAGTGAGGGGTCTCTGATATGAAAGGGGGGCACCTGATATGAAGGGGACTCCT